CCAGTGTTTAACACACTCCCACTGGCAGGCGTCAGTAATGGTGCCAGTGTTTAACACACTCCCACTGGCAGGCGTCAGTAATAGTGCCAATGTTTTATCCCATTGGCAGGACGAACCGGTTCTACAGAAATACATGTCGAAATGTGCTAGCGTTTACAGCTCCCACTAGCAGGCGTCAGTAATCATGACTATATCCGAGACAAAACCATGCAGGATTTACAGAAAAACCCGAATTTCACAATCAATCTCCCATTTCAGAAATAACCGAAAAATTTCCATGTGGGCATGGATTTAACAGAAAACTCAACATTTACAAAATTCTCAATTCCTCAAAGCAGTTCAGTCAATTCCAAATAGGCATGCTCAACTCCAGAAAAACAATAAAATTCTCATTTTCATTTCTCAATCATGCTCATTTCAAGAAAATCAATAAAATCCTCGTTCTCATTCCAATCATGCTCAATTTCAGAAAAACAAGGAAATTCTCATAAAAACCATCACAATTTTCATTTCAGTTTAAATCATACTCAGATGCTGATAAAATCAGTTTAAAGCTTGCCACCATCTCAAAAACAGTTTAAAACATGCTTTAAAATCAAAGGGCTTTACCATCATTTACTTACCTCACTCGCACAAAACCGAAGGCAGAACCGAAGGCTAACCCGAGTGCTACGGTGACAGAACGATCGGGAACCTAATCAGAACACCTCAGAATTAATACCAGACTATCACAAATTCAACTGAAATCATCATTAAAATCACTCCTAATCCCAATGCTATTTCTATCAATCTCCACATAACCGGACATCTCCAAATTCATTCTTATATCACAACTAAACCTTTAAATCCCCGTTAATCATTAACCCTCGGTGTGTGAACAGTGCCTATGAACAGTACCTCGTGAACAGTAACTTCAACTCCCAAAATTGACAAAACAATAATCAATCTCACGGGATTTTCTCCAAAATCACAATAACTCAATTCAAGCTAATTTCCTACTTAACCCATGCTTAAAACATAGCTTAAAGCTACCAAAATTCCCCAATCTCACGGGCAGCACATGGAGGGCATGACCTTGGCAACCCACAACTCAACACACACGGGATTTCTCACACAAATCATCACAATAGCCAATTCAAGCTAAATTCTACTTAATCAAGCTTAAAACACATTTAAAATGCTACTAAATGCTACCGGAATTCCTCCCCATTTCTGGCACAATTCGGACACACACAAGGCAGCAATTAAATGGCTAATTTAGGGCTTAAAGAAGTGGCCATCATACCAGAAATTTCCAGCAAGAACCGGACCTAGCAGGGAGAAGAAGCCGGCGGCATCTGCAGGGGAAACTCACGGACTACCCAAACAATTGAGGGGAAATAAACAGAAATTAGCATAACCCAGCCTAAATCAAGGTTAAAGAGATGATTTCTTGGCTGTGGCTTACCCGAAAAATGCCCAGAAATTCAAACCCACAGAGCAGCCGGCGGACAGGGGAGAAGAGCAGAGCAGATCCGGGATTTTCTGGGTTGAGAGGGAAGATTCTAAGCCCCAAATCTTGTGATTTAACAAGAAAGGAAGAGAAATTCATCAAGATCTCACCGGTTTTTTTCAAGGGGGAGAAAGTCGGTGGCTTGGGGGGGGCTTGTCGGGGAGGCAGAGCATCGGGGAGAAGAAAAGAAGAGCAGATGCGCGGATAAGGAAGAAGAAAGAAAGAAAAAGAAAAAGAAAAAGCAATTCATCCTTATCCTAATTTCCTTTCTTTTTAGTCCCTCAACTTTTAAAATTTTATGATTAAGCCTCAAAACAATATTTTTCCTCAAATAAGTCCCCAATTTAATGCTAAAATACCCCAAAATTTTGGGATATTACAGAAATATTAAATAATCTTGGTTAAATACCCTTTTTGGTCCCTCTACTATAGGAAAAAGCCCTTTTTTGGTCCCTATACCGAAAAAATTCCCTTTTTGGTCCTTACTGTTCACAAATCCGGCCCCTTTTTAGTCCTACCGTTAAATTTTGGCTGATGTGACACGTTAATTAACGGAAACACTCATTCCTTTTTTTTATTAAATTACGTGGAATATTCACGTGGTAAAATTGATGACATGCTAAATTTTTTTATTTTTAATTACTGATATACCCTTGTCTTCTTCCTCGGCTTCTCCTTCCTCCAGCCTTTTTTTTTCTTTTTTTTCTTTTACCTCCAGGCAAACCCAAGAGCCTGGGTTCGCAAAACCTAAAAGGCAGCCATAACCAACAAATAAAATGAACCAACCAGTGTTAATACGAAGGAGAAAAAGGCTCGCACCTAGAATTTTATTGGAGCTAACATCCCTAACAGAAGAAAACTGCTTCAGAGTTAAACACTTAGTAAAGCTTGGTGGGCCGTTCAGGGCATAGTACAAATCTTGAAGAGCTACAACTGTTCAAGGCAAAATCCAGGGAAAAAACTGTATGATTTAAGAAAAATCCAAATCCCTAAATCTTAATCTTAATTCTATCTTCTTCTTCTTTTTTTCTTTTTTTTTTTCAGGAAACCAAAATCCAAAACAGCAAGTGAATAGGTAGAACATAGAATCTTTTCTTTTCCTACATATTCTTGGCATCCAAACAGAGCTTCAGAGCACATAAAACAGCGAAATTCATAACGATCACCAATTAAGTTACTCAAATAGCATCAATTTCCACATAAACACAATCAATCGCTGCTTGAACCTCTAGAAAATCCAATCCAAACGAAACGAAAGGTTCGCACCTCGCGAACCCAGCTCGTGGGTTCGCACCTCGCGAACCCAGGTTCTTGGGTGCGAACCCAAGCTCTTGGGTGCGAACCCACGAGCTGGGTTCGTGAGGAACCCAAGCTCTTGGGTGCGAACCCACGAGCTGGGTTCCTCGCGAACCCAGAACCCAGTAGACTCCTGGGTTCGCCTAGGAGAAAAAGAAAAAGGAGAAAAAGAAAAAAAGGAAGAGGCCGGAGCAAGGAGAGGATGGGGAAGAAAGAAGAGGGTAAATTAGTAATTAAAGGAAAAAATTTTACCATGTCATCAATATTTGAGGGCAAATCAGTAATTAAAAGTAAAAAATTTAACCATGTCATCATTTTTCGCCAGATGGATATTCCACGTAATTTAATAAAAAAAAGGAATGAGTGTTTCCGTTAATTAACGTGCCACATCAGCCAAAATTTAACGGAAGGACTAAAAAGGGGCCGGATTTGTGAACAGTAAGGACCAAAAAGGGAATTTTTTCGGTATAGGGACCAAAAAAGGGCTTTTTCCTATAGTAGAGGGACCAAAAAGGGTATTTAACCAATAATCTTCAAATAACTCGACCGTTGTGCATTAAATATGCCCTCACAACTGGCTACAAAGTCAAAGCCAGCTTTGCATTTATTTTCCCGCGCACCAAACAATGGATTTGAAATTTTCACCCGTAGAGTCGACTGTAGCTTTTAAAGCCGGCTCTCTGCAATTTTACCTTTCAGAGCCGACTGTAGATTTTTTTAAGCTGGTTCTCTGCACATTGTCTAACCTCTTCGGTTCTTTTTAGTGCAATCTTAGTTTACTTACTTTGCAACATTTTTGCAATTTAACTACACACTTAAATGAACCAATTAGTCACTCAAATGTGTTTTGTAATTATCAAAATCATAGGTACGACAATCTCCCCCTTTTTGATGATGATAAAACACTTTGAGAATGAAAGCATATATATACTTCAAGATTAACCAGAAAGTTCAGCACCAAGACACTCTAGAAAATGATATTAAATCATAAGAATTCAACATACTTTCTCCTCCTTTTTGTCAACTATCAAAAAGCATATAAACATAATCAATAAACTCCCTCTTAATTCATGCATATCAACCTTTAAAGCATCAAAAATAGGTAATTTAAGCATAATATCCACAAATTGCTCCTCCTCAATGAAAGCACTTAAGATCATAATCATCAAAATCATAGGCAACCATAAAGTCATATACAATTAAAATCCACAATTCATGATAATAAGCTAAGAAATGTGCATAGATAATGAGATCAAATTTTGGGAAAGAATCAAATCTTGAATGTGAGTAGAGGAAAAGGGCCAAATATTAAAAATCTATCACAATCAAGAGGCTTTGTAGTAAACAAAGATATCTCATTCCAAGAAACTATGAAGATCAAAAGATTCTTTCTCTCCTTTTTGTTATCCAACAAAAAGGTTTGGAAACCATATGAAGAGCAAACAATAGAGCTCCCCTTAATCAAATAACTCATGAAAGCATGAACATACTTATATAACAATCTCATTAAAATCATACCAAGAATGTATAATCATTTATGATTTAAGTCAAAAAGATCAATAAAAGATAAATGAAATAGAACAAATGTGATATGCACTCAAGATAAAGCAATATATATGTCCATCATACTCATAAAGAGTTTGAAATTGATAGATTTACCTCCATTATTGTTAGAACAATTGAATACCTCAATGGAGAGACCATTGCTTATGCATTTCCTTTGTATGTTCCCTTTGATTGGCGAAGATCTCATCTTTGGGATAATTTCATTTGAAGTTCCAATACATCTAATTGTCTCAAGTTTACTTAACATTGCTTTGGAAAATTCTTTGCAACAAAACTTGTTAGTAGCACCAAAAACAATGTTAATGCCATCATTAAATACAACATGTATATTTCTTACCCTTGAGATGTATTACCATTTATCACATTACCTTTATAAGATCTCTTTTTTGGGTAGAATTATATAACCTTTGTTTTTGTGCTTGTTGCATCTCCTCAATCTTGTTCTTCTCACTTGCTTCACATGGAGGTTGTGTAGACCTGGCAAAAATTAACCCGACCCGTGAACCCGACCAAAACCCGACCTGTAAAAAACGGGTTAGGGTTTACATATCTTAACCCGTGACCCGTTGACAACCCGAAAAATTGACCCGAAAAGATCACGGGTCATGGACGGGTTAACCCGCGGGTTAACGGGTTAACCCGTTATCCCCTTTTAAGAAAAAAAATAATCTTAAATATTAATTTTTAAAAACTTATTTATTATTAATTAACAATTCATTTTCCCCAAAATTCCTAATCCCTAGTTTCATGTTCATTACTCCAGCCACCAGGAGAACCACGCACAACGGCACAACACAACTCAGAAACTCTACATCTTCCAGACTTCCACTCATGATTCTCCTTCAAACTCTACATCTTCCACCTCAGTTATCTAGTTCCAATATTCATTGCTCCATGTTTCCCACGCCAAAGCCAAACTCTACATCTTCCTCTTCCCCTCTTGCTTCTGCAGTGCTGGAGTCGGTTCACTCATCTAAATCAATTCACCACCTATTTGCTTTAATTTCTTCTCTCCCTGTAAACATTATCACCTTCTTTGTTCTCTCAAACCACTTCCCTTTGCAATTGAGGTATGGGTTTCAAATCTTTCAAATATATCTTATTTTTTTCTTGTTATAGATTTTGTATATCTAATTTTCATTTTAATAATGCTCAATAAGCTAAATTCTCTTTATAAGTCACTTTTTATAATTGTTTTGAGATGTATTTTCATGTTTTTGTTGAATACTTAGTAAATTTCAATATCCTAAGTCCTGATTTTAAATCCCCAAAGTCCCAATTTCATGTTTTATTTTTCTGTATTATTCACTCATGGTATTTGTATTAAGATGAATTTTTCATGTTTAGTTGAATACTTAGTAAATTAAATCAAAGGATCATTCTAAATAAACCTAAGATCATATCACTTGAACACTGTGACAAGTATTAGAAATTCATAAAAATGATCAAATTGCAGGAAATACCGCATAAAAAGCCTCTAACTTTGAATTGTTCTGCAATATTTTGAGCACTGTCCTATAGGTCTCCCAAAGAAACTTGAACCATGGGGTAACAAGTTCACGATCAAACTGTTGAGATTACAATATCAATAGCCAAGTCCCTATTTCATTTTATTTTATTTCACTTAGTTTCTTTGGAAATTCTATGCTATTTTAATCTAAAAATGTGATTATATTTTATTGGGTTTTCATCCATTTTTATTTGATTCTATTTCACTTGCTTATGTTATTGGTTATATTTGTGGTTTTTTATGTCTCATCTTTCTTTTAGTTTATGAATTAAGATTATTAGTTTTTACTTGTTTTGTGGTTCAAATTAACCCCTTTGTTTATTTTTTTTAGTACTTGCATATTCTGTGGAAAATGAAAAGGAAGCAAAGTCAGGGTAATGGCAATCCATCTCAAATACCAGCAACAAAACAAGGCACACCACCACCATCACAACCAGAAATAGAAACAGTCATGGATCTTATTCATGGTAATGCTAAATTTCAAGAAATTTAAGTAAAATTAATTGATTTAAATTTGTATTTTGGATGTAATCTAATTTTCTAATAATTACTTTAAATTATACTTGTAGTGGGTGAGGACAATGAAAATAACAGAGCTATATCTTCTGATCTTGAGAAAAATGAAGTTGCCCCATTTTCAAAGAAGAAGAAGAAATCTAAAGTTTGGGATGATTTTCAATTGATTGAAGCACATTTGAATGATGATGGTTTGGAAAGAGGTAAATGTAAATATTGTGGTACTACCTACATTTGTGAAGGAAAGTATGGAACTTCTAACATGAAAAGGCATCTGTCAAAATGTTTTGCACGTGTGAATAGAAATCCTGTGCAAATGATGTTAAGTAACTCTGGAAAATTGGTTAGAAAAATTGATCAAGAAACTTTTAAGGAGTTGTGTGCACTGGTAGTAATAGAGCATTCATATCCTTTTTCATGGGTTGAGCATAAGGCTGTTAGATCATTAATGAAGTACCTAAATGAGGATGTGAAGCCAATTTGTAGAAATACTGTGAAAAATTGTTGCTTGAAAATTCATCAGAGGGAGAGAGATAGAATTAAGCAGTTGCTGAAAAAAGTTTCAGGAAGAATATGTTTAACATGTGACATGTGGACTTCTGCATTTACTCAAGGTTACCTTTGTTTGACTGCTCACTTTCTTGGTGATGAATGGAATTTACATAGCTTGATTTTGAATTTTCTGCATGTCCCACCTCCACACACAGCTAGAATTCTGTTTAAACAAGTGTATGAGCTGCTAAAGGAGTGGGGCATTGAAAGTAAAATATTTTCAATCACTTTAGACAATGCTAGGTGTAATGATAACATGCAAGAAGCTTTGCGTAATCAGCTCAATCTTGAAAGGCCATTGTTGTCAAGTGGAGATTATTTTCATATTCGATGTTCTGCTCATATTTTGAATTTAATTGTGCAAGAAGGATTGAAAGTGATTGATGATAGTGTTAGAAAATTGAGGGATGGGATAAAGTATATAACTGCCACTGAGGGAAGGATGTTAAATTTTGAAGAATGTGCTAAACGAGCTAGTTGTGATTTAAGCAAGGGATTATGGTTAGATTGTCGATTATGGTTAGATTGTCCTACTAGGTGGAATTCCACACATAAAATGCTTGAGAGGGCAGTGATCTATAAAGATGTTTTTGCTTCTTTTGAATTGGATGATGAAAATTTTAAATGGACCTTGGATGAAGAAGAATGGAAGCGAGTTGGTAGAATTTGTGAACTTTTACAGCCTTTTAGTGAAATCAGCACTTTGTTTTCTGGTTCGAAATATCCAACATCAAATTTATACTTTAAGCATGTTTGGAAGATTGAGTTATGCTTGTTGGAGAATATCAAGTGTGGGGATATCTATATTAGAGACATGGCAACCAGCATGAAGGCTAAATTTGAGAAGTACTGGGATTCTTATAGCCTTATTCTTGCTTTTGCCATAATTTTGGATCCTCGTTATAAGTTATCTTTTGTAACATATTGTTACAAGATACTAAATGAGGAAACATACACTGCCAAGGTCAATCATGTTACGGATAAATTGTATCAACTTTACAATGAATATGTAATGGAGGGCAGCAAGTTGGAAAGTACAAATAATGCCACAATGCCTACAACTACTGTGACTGAAGTTGTTGGTAATAAAGATCGATTAATGGAGGTAATAATTGTTTTGTTTCTAAACTTTCTTCAATTTTCTCAAAATATTTTAATTTAATTCATTTTACTCTAATTAATTTGTT